CAGAACTTCCTGAAAGCCCGCAAGCTTGTCAGACTGAGGACTGGCAAGTGTGTCAAGAAGCAGGTCTTGCTTTCTAGATGAAGGAAGGGGTTGGCGAAGCAGTGTTCTGCAAAGTGGCGGCAGCTTTTTATGAAAGCGAATGCTGCCAGGAGCAGCCAGACGGGGAGGAAGATGCAGAACTTTCTCAAAGTGCGAGAGCTTATGAAGAGGACTTACAGTAAAGGCAGTGTTGGTCATTGCTCGTTATCCCACTGTTTTTTTGGAGCACTTCCTCAAGCTTCGTTGATTTTGTAGAGCTGAGTGGTTGACTTTGAGAGCGAGTTTGGGCGTGAAAACTCAAATTCCCAATAGCAGAATGCAATCTCTGGGGCTGGGTTTCCTTCTTCCTGCTAAGATGGCAGGCATAAAATCTGAGACTGAGAGCAGGCATGCAATACTTGAGAAATGTTGAAAAGAAACTCTTCTACAAGGTATAAAAGGTGCATCCTCTTGGAATGCCGATTCCACTGCACCTTTTGGGCGGCAAAAAAACACCTAGTTGTATATAGGTAGGAGCTGAGAAGTGAGGTCTATCTCACTTTAGCGAGCATGGCATGTAGCGGTTTGTCTGTTACTTGTCCCTCTACATACAAAACCTCCTGTACCTGCGTCGATGATCCGAAGGGCGGTTTTTCCAAGTTTACACTTCAATCTTTCGAGAGTCTAAAGTTCTAAAGGTTCTTGATTCTTGGTCCGGCAACCTCGAATGCCGCTCTTGGATTCGCGCTGCATAGCTGCATCTGGGTGATGCCTCGGAGCCTCATGAGTACCATGCTGTCTGTGTTGGTTTTCGCTCTTGTGTGGCGCTTCCCGCACGACGGGCCTCTTCTTTCGTGCGCCCTGCAGGACAAGCTGCTGTAGGCCGCTGTAGGCCTTGAAGGGATCTTCCTTTTGCAGAAGTGTGCCGAGGCGAAGACCAGGATTTCAGCTTGGGCCCACGGCTTCGCGTGTGCTACGAACGGTTTCCGATGACTTCGCTGAAGCGATGGGTTCTCTCCATATCAATCCAAAGGTGGTAGAGAGTCACGACGCATTAAGATCATTGCCACGCATTTGCCTTTCGCAACCGAGACTTCAGCCTCCAGTGGGGGTTAGTTGACTCATGTGACATTTGTCAGGCGGTGCTGAATTTGATCTGGCTCCTCTGATACATCCAAGGCACGTGAGCTGGCCAGGAGTGAGGGGCTGGTGAGTTCTCATAGCAGCATAGCATTATAGCATTATGCAGGTCTCGGTGTCAACATTCGAAGCCCCACATTCAGATTCGTTCGGAAAACACGTTGGGACACCGATGACGAGGCTCTCGTGAGGCTCGCGTGAGAGGCCACCGACGACGACCACCGCTGAGTGCGAAGGCCAGTTCCGGAGTTCGGGACGTCGACGCTGCGAGGTGAAGAAAAGACAACAACAAAGCATGAATGGAACGGAATGGACATGATCAAAAACATGCCGTTTTTATTGATTCATATTGACTTGATATTTTGTGTTCTGTATCCTACAGCGAGACGTTGCGGAGCCCTGTCTAAGCGAGACTGAAGTGTGGCGCAGCCGCTGTGTGCAGAAGCTTCAGCGCCAAAAGGCCTTGTGGTCAGGTTTCTCGACACTGCGGCCCGTTGCAGTCTAAAGGGGACAAGGGGATGTATAGAATAGAATTACAAAACACCGGAAAGCTTGTTGTGCAGAGGCACTACAGGGTTCGGCGGATTGGACTAGACGAATTGCCCGACGGTTGAGCTGGAACGAGTCACATGAGAACAAATTGCTGTGTCTCCCATCCCACTTTTCCCCAGGCACGGGGAACCCTCTCGTGTCCGCAGAGTTTTTTGCATTTTGGCTCGGTAGATAGGGACGGCGCTGGACACGGCGGCGGCCGAGCAGGGCCAGGCGGCGCGTGCCTGGCGAGAGCAGGGCCGACTGAGTCGGCCGCCGTGATCCGCGGCGCCCGAAATGATGCGCGGCGCGCGGAATGCGACCATTGTCCCCCATGGGAAACACCTCAGCATCGAGCCTCCAAGCATCAACTTCGAGAACATCGAAGCCAACATGAAGCGAGGAACTTAGAAATGGATTTATTCATGTGACAGTTTCATGCGATGAAGAGGCTTCTTCCGGAAGTTCAGTGCGGCTTTCTTTTCTTGCAATCCTTCTTTCACAGCCACCGTATCCAGCATCGCCTTTGTGCCGTTGCTTTCTTTGTTGCCCGTATCGCATGTAACTTGTCCGCGCCTCTCAGGTATATTCAGACGCTGGTGGTCAGAAATCTCAGCACCTATGTGAAGCGCATTCGCTTCCAGGTGCCAAAGTCACAGGAGTTTCGGATCGTCACAGAGAATCTTGTCTTCACAAAGTGGGTCCTTCAACCACCCCAGCAAGACTGGCGTAAAAAACTGTTCAATCCACCCAAAACAATCAAAGCAGCAAAAGCCCTGGGGAGCTAGAACCGAAAGCTAGAGCTCATTTCCATATAGTTTCTGTTTGAGCAGAAGCAAATCATCCACCCAACTTGACGGATCTGTGGCATTGATGGCTTTGCCGAGCCCTGCTGCAACCCAGGAATGAAATTGGAGTTGCTCCCGGACTCTCAGTGTCCGTAGATGTGGAGTTCCTCACCAGATCCTTTGCTCGTGAAGTTTGTTTTATTTGCTTCGGTGGAAGGAAGGTGACCTGGTTTGGGTGATTGCAAACCATGCTTTTCAACCTTCTTGTCCGTTTCTTTTGCTCATTACAGTACACTCAGCAGTGCTACCTACTGTATATAGTAGCACGCCCAAGTCCAAGGAAAAGTCGATGACTTTTTCGACAAGCTAGTGGTTGTTGCGGAGGCCTCTCGATTGCAATAACAATTGCTGTCCAGGAACCAGCTGTGTCGTACGATTGGTGCGAAATGCAACTTGTGGTACGGTATGTATTTGGGTGCAAAGCATTTGTGGAACAGCAGTAAACTGAAACTCAACACGACGGTCCAACAATGCAATTTAGTCAAGCTGCAAATTACATTCACTGAGCCCAAGTTCAATCAAGTTGATGTCAGTAACCCACGGGGGAGGTTGGTGACATAATATGCTGTGTCCGTCATGTGAAGTGGCCAAGGACTTCCGAGGTGAAGTGGAGCTTTGTGCTCAACGACCTCAGGAAAAGGTGATCCACTCAGTGCACGACTTCCGATGTTGGTAACACACGTACTACGTCGTATGCTTAACGCCAGAAGTTCCGTTTGATTGATGCGGGCAAAGAATTTCTGAGAGAAGTACGGGGGCAGCCCATGCTTGCCAGCCATGCTCCAGCACGATGGTCTCAGCCGTCTCCCGAGCTGAGGCAAGAAAGGGCGAAGGCTTGGGCTTGGACAGTGAGTGACTACCGCAAGGAGATCTGAGTTTGTTGGACGAGGGGACCCGCAAATCCAAAAAGACATCTATTTTTCTCATAATAACTTGTTTTTTTCTTTAGCAGGCGTGACACCCTCCTATACGCAGACAGCACGAGGCACTTCGAAAGACATCAGAGACGGATCCACATACTTCATTCATGCATTCTTATGGTTTCAAACTATTGGTGTCGAAGCAGAGCTAGTTGCCTGCCCTTTGTCCCCACCTGTGTCCGTCCGGGGGGTCGACGCCGCCAGGCGCTGTGACCACCATGGCGCGACAGGTGAGCCCGACGGATGCCACCGAGAAGGTGGCGACCGTTTGCGGCATGCGAAACGCGGTGTTCCACCGCGAAACGGTTTGGAATGGAATGGACCAAAACCGCTGTGGGCTTCTTCAAAGTTTCTTTTTCTTCTTTTCTTCAGGGCTTGACCCGGACCAAACCAATGTGAGTTGTGCGCTGTATTGAATAGGCGATGAAGAGAGTTGCATGGGGACACAGGTCTGTGGTGGGCAACTGTCATATTGATCAGGCCGACCGCAAGAAGAACGAGCTGCCTACAGAGGTCAGGGAAGAGCACGTTAATTCTTGATTTCTGTAAGTATACTGGGAAGAATTGGTGTTCAAAGCTTTGAAGAAGCTCTTGAAAGGGATCCTTCTGGCAATTCCCACTACAAAACCAAGGCTTGTGCTCCAAAATCAGTGAAGTTTTGGGAAAGATAGGTTTTACTTTTACTAGAAAATGAAGTCAAATTTGGCTCTGGCCATGGATTCAGGATATCTCAAGATCCTTCATTTTAGAGAAAGCGCTTTGGCAGAGTCAGTGTGAAAAAAAACAACACATATGACAATTCTAGAGAAATGTTTGGTGTAATGTTCATTTGCAGATTTTGATTCTACAGTACACAAGAAGTGTGAGTGCAAAGGAATCCAGTCTTGCATTTTAGAGAGAGAGAGAGAGTGAGTTGGAGAGCGCAACACCATGCTGTTGGCAAGGGAAGATTTTGATAGAGTGATATTGTATGCTGCCTGATAAAGTAACATATACTGTATTACCATATGAGCATCCGACAAAACTTCCGTACATGTACTCGTGAGCCGCCTTTCTTTTTTCTGAATTGATCAACACCATGCAAAACCATGCAAAACCGATAGAAATCCAACCTATACGGATACACTTTCTTGATTGAAAGCAGCTTATTAACAATGGACACCGATAGGGGCCAACCCAGAATACTTTCGGCATTGGGGACTGAATAAGTTTTGTCCGCCGCTCATATAACATAACTTAACATTATATTATGCTACTATCTTTACAATCCAGAAAAGTCACGGGAAGTCAAAGAACTAATCAGATTTCCATAGATACCACCGGAGAGTGCACACATGTTGCACATGTATCTCATCAGCTTCGTGGTTGCAAGATTTTTTGCCCTTGTTCTGAGTGAACAAGGTGAGGTGAAAAACTTGTGTCTTCTGAGTGTTGACCCCTCCAGTTTAGAGTGAAGTGGTTAATTCTCGGACATGCCCCTCACAACAGGTTTAGGTCTATTATAAAGTCAGGGGCATGTCCCAGACCTGAATTTCCCACAGGGATTGAAAAAGCGTTGCCCCTTTGCCACGCCAAGTGGGAAGCTAAAAAGCTCCTGGCCGCTTCGCGTTGCTTCACATTGCTTCGCATTGCTTCGCATTGCCAGGAGTTGAACCCGGCCTTGCCGAAGCTAGAGACTTCTTCTGTGGTGCCGAGCATCAAGGCTGGTCAAAAGGGGTCTGAGGGGTCCTGGGTCAAACACAACCGACTGAAGCGCTGTTTTCATGGCTTTTTTCATGCCCATTGCACCCATTGCGCTGTGCAGCTCTGCAAGAAGTCGTTGTTTGCAGTTAAGATGCAAGTCGAGGCTATGCACAGAGCTGAAAAACCAGTCGTTGAAGAATGGGTCCTCCCGGTGCCCATCGGTGGTTCCTAGTAGCGTCCTTTGCTCCTAGTAATCCGGTCCACCTATTAAAAAACACGGCCCCCCCCTAATAAGGAAACCTGGGTCGCATTTTTTCTAATAGGGGGTCCCTGAAATCGGGGGGTCCAAAATAGGTCACCTGGGAAGAGCTTCAAAACCAAAAAGTAAATCAGTAAAACTTTATATAAAATCCTTTATTAAACTCGTATCAAGAATGCAAAAAAGCTCCAGATCGAAGGGTCTTCCTTTTCCCCTACAAAAACCTTCATTAGAATAGTGATTCTTCAGTAGACTAACAGCTAAAGCTTTCGAAAGGTGATGTCGCTGTGCCATGCGGTGTTGCATGACCTCGGTGGCAAGTGCGTTGCGTGAGTCCGTGCCATTGGGGGAAGGAAAGCCTGCTGGTGTAAGCGCGGCGTGTCATGGTGGATAGACAGGGCGGACAGAGGTGGGCAGTTACGGTTGTTTTTGGAACCTAATAAAAAAGACTCCTCCAAAGTCGGCAATGTTGGTAGTTTAGTAGCGGCTTGAAAGGGCGGTAACTTAAAAACAAATATAAACCGTATTTAGGGGTTTCCGACATGACTTTTTTCTAATAGGGGCCCGTTTTTTAATAGGTACTCGGGATTAGTAAGGCCAGGAGCCCCTAGTAGCGTCCTCGCTCCTAGCAGCGATGCCCTTTGCTCCTAGTAGTGTCGTTTTTTCTGCGCAGGTGAGTCCGGACATGCTACACTTTGGGCAGTGTCCAGTGAACCACCGGCCGCGCTCTGAGCTGCAGAAAACCCAAGGTTAGTTTAAGGCTGTCCAGCCCCAAACATCAAGGAAACGCATGAATAGCGTGAAGCTAGTCTGCGTCCTAGCTAGTAGCTACCTCTTACTACTAGCTACCTCACGACCTTACCACCCTCCCTCTCCGGCTCAAAACAACTGAGTCGGGATGACACAGTTCTGTCCTGCATTCAGGCGAGACATCGTTCTGCGGATCACCAATAGCAGCCCACCAAATACTTCTGTAGAGTTTGAGATCCCGCGTGTGCCGATCTCAGGACCCTTGTCAGCTTGAAACAACAAAAACCACCGGTCAAACTTATTCGCCATGGCGACGACCTTTTCTGCAGTACGTGCGGTCGGACCGAGGTGTCTCACATGCGGGTGCACCCGATGAAGGGCAAGCTTGCTGCAGGGCAAAGCACCAACGTTGTGGTGTCCTTCATGCCAAAGGCAAATATACGCACATATTTCGCATGTAGACCAGGTTGAATCAGTTTAACATCAAAATGTCACTTTGACTCCCAACGTAACTTTGGCACTTATTTGGTTTACTTTCGCTTTCTTATTGATGGATGTGTATATTGTGTTTTAAAGTTATGTATCGTTCTTGATTAAGTACTCCTTCTATGGTATTTAACTGCTTTTTCAGGATCTAGCACACACACACACAGTGTTATTTAGGAAGAGTTATTAGCAAGTAAATTAATGACGTTCTGTTTTTAATCATCTCGGCCCGCATACCTGAAGCAGGCACTCGGGAAGTACAACCAGGACATCTCCATCAAGTATGGCGTGGGCCTTCGATTGTTTTATTTTCCTCCGTTTCAATGCACATTCTCGGCAGGCGAGAAACCCGGGGTTTGTGGTGTTGTTATTTTTTTCCCTTTTTCCACCATGATGCTTTACCGCAGCCAAGGCAACAGTCAGTACTCCCACACTCTGCACTGCTATGGGGAGGTGCGCCAAATCAAAATCGTAGAGCCGGATGGTCGTTGCCATCTCCGATGCGCTCAGCCTGTTCCGCTTAGGCGCCTGTGCTGGGTGAAAAGCCAGTGCCAGTGAAAGGCCTGGAAAGAACTGGCAGAGACTTCGATCCAGAGTCGCTTGGAGGGAGTTCAACGATTCAGAAAACTCCGGTTTGGCATCAGACTGGGTTTGCACCGATGGCTGCATCTGTCACCTCAAGATCATACTATACACTCACCAAGCGTCTTCAGGGCAGTCCTCAAACACCTGTAATGCTTGAGAGTTGCGAGTGACCAAGGTACATCTATGTCAACCAGGACATGAACGCTTCTCTGAGTCATGCGTGATTTGCAACACTAAGAAAGTCACAGCACCTGCTTTGCGATCTGTTAAACATGACGAGATGCTCCTCGATTTGGCTCAAGTGACCCACCAGACACCTCCAGGCTTTCGGCACTGTCACCTCAATATCTTAAGATGGCTCGCTCCCTTGTCTTGACCGGCGCTGTGCTGCTTTGCTGCGGTGCATTCCTCACGGCCTTTGTGCCGGCCCCTCGCAGCTCCCACGTGTCTGCCCCTGCCGCAAGCACCGGCACCGCAGCAGCTCTGACTGCGGCCACTTTGGTGACACCACAGGCAGCTTTCGCCGATGAGGGCTCTGTCTGGATCCCCGCCCTGTCCGCCATCGGGGCCGGCTTCGCCATTGGTTTGGCTGCCATCGGTTCGGGAGTTGGCCAGGGCATTGCATCCGGCCGATGCATTGATGGCATCTCCCGCCAGCCAGAGGTTGCAGATGACCTGCGAGGTGTCCTGCTGTTGTCCTTGGCATTCATGGAGTCCCTGACCATTTATGGCCTGGTGATCGCCCTGGTGCTCCTTTTCGCCAACCCTCTCATCAAGTGAGTTGGACCATGATTGTAGCCGGGACATTCTTTTTTCGAAAAGCACACAATTCTTACGTACTCGCACGCTATGTATGCTCTTGAGAAAAGGGTACGACAAAGCTGCTTGGATTGCTAAGGACTTTTCATCCAACAAGGTTTCAAACGAGTCTGTACTCCCAAAGTTTGCAGACACAAGTGACACAATGTCCTTCTCAGGAAGTGCGCGTGCTTTCAAAATCTGTCTACGCTGTATTTTGACAGTACTCGAACGTGAGAGTTTTCCGGCGCCCCCAGGAGCAGCTGAACTTGCCGCCCAAAGCTCGCAGCTCACCTCAGAAAGGGCGTTTCGGTTCGTGGCGTCCACTTCAACTTGAGCCAAAGCAGGAATTTCCAAACTCTTTTAATTTTGCAATGGCCTCCAATCTAAGAGCGATGGCCTCCAATCTAAGAGCGATGGCCTCCAACCTAAGAGTGATGGCCTCCAACCTAGAAGCAATGAAGTGACCAAATGTTGATTGGACTCAGAGAGAGAGAGAGAGAGATGTGATGTGATGCTGACTACGTGACTGAGGCAACCTTCAAAGCCTGACAAAGATCATGAAGGCCGGCCAACATTTGTTGATGCTTGAAACGGGTGAACGGATCAGCGATTGATCATGATCCTGCTCTGCCAGGAAGATTTGGAGAGAAACCAGTACTCATTTGATGCACTGGATTCGATCATGATGGATTTGCAACTTTGTTGCAGTCTTGAACTTCGATTTAGCTCTATAGAGCAGGACTCGTTCATTGAATCTTGTTTTCGGACAACTTTGGTACGTATTTCATCGTATTTCCAGGTGAATGGTTTGGCCAGCATCAAGCATGCAAAGAGATAGCTGAGGCCGGAACCTACGCCGTACTCCCTATCTCCTTCCGCTATGCAGGACACCTTTCATAGTTTGCTTCAAGGGTCTCCAAGGTGACTGACTGTACTTCAAAACAGCAGAAGCATTCCTTGAATCTCATACTCTAAAGGCCTCATTTGTCCACGTGCATCGTTTTTTTTGGCAGGAGTATGTCAGAAACAAGCAGCGCTATAACAAGCTCCTCAAGGAGGGACAGACTTGGAACGAATGTAGGAGCACTTGGCAACTCTGAGGCAGGTTTTGCTAGTTCTGTGACTTTTCACCGGTGATCCGCTCTCATCCTCCATGTCCAGCTGGGCTGGAGACATTTGGCTGTTTACTTCAACTTACTTTGCACCGATGTCAAGTCTATTGCCGACACCAAGCGCGCACCCCAACAACATGCTTAACAGCTTAACAATTACAAGGGGGAACAAACCACCCTTTCCTTGATAGGTCCGACATTAGTAATACTCACCAAAGACTATTTGATGTATATTCTTGCAGTTTTCTTCCGTCAAACGACCACATGTCGCATGACACTGCAGGACTCGAGAATAAGAAGAAAGATACGACAAAAAGAAGAGCTGCATCCGTCTGAGCCAGTAGACCCACCGCTGCAATTAGCACCTGCGACAGCGGAGGCGGCAGTTGCCGCTTCCCGCTGCAAAAGCAGGGCCGTTTCGTGAAGTCTCTTTTGGGGTTGAACGGAATCTGCATGCAGGTTGCGTGTCTTGCTGCTTGTCTTCTTGAAAGATTTAAGCCTCGCTTGCGGTTTGAGGATATATTCTACGAGGATGATGTTAACATGGGCATGCTGCCTGGATCAGGGCTCAAGAGCTGGCTTCTCAGCACTCCTGTTTGTCTACAGATGTCTACAGACGTCTACGTGACTTCGAGAGAATGACCATGATTGCACACTGGCAGACATGGGTTCGAATTGCTTGCCCTAGCTGCTTCTCGAAAGGCAGCAGGGCCCTATATACACAAATGAGTTCCAACTAGCTCAGAATGCAATTACATTCCCAGATTGCAGTGCCCATAGACATCAGAGTCTTGGTTCCTTTTTGCCTAAAACTCTGATGGCTCACACTTCAGGTCCACGATACAATGTGTGGGAGATTCCGGTCGACAAGCTTCATCTGGAACGGGCACTGGATGATGACAGTGCCGCAGAAGGAGTGACCGGTCACCGTTGCATGGCTGCAATCTAGCAGTGTTGCGTTGTACAGACACGTGGAAGAACCTTATTGAACTTGCCAGAGTATTTCCTCAGTTACTGTATATAATATTGCAAGGTGTATTTGAAGATTTTAAGAGAATCGAACGTTGTTTGGATTTTCGGTCGCTTTGCAAGCTCTTCTATGCCTCTAGAACGAAGAAGGCTCATGGATGCAAATGCAGAGTGAGGTTATATGCATGATGAGAACAAGCTTATCAAGAAGAAGTACAAGGACAGGAACTGATGGGCTGACGAACCAGCTTTTGCCGCGGCGACATATTTCCTGGGCACATCTTGAATTCTTGAGATTAGAAACAAGAAGCTATTAGGAACAAGTTCATCGCTTCTAGTAGCAAGTGCCTTACTAGTAGTAACAAGAAGCTACTAGAAACAAGTGCATCGCTAGTAGTAACAGGTGCCTTACTAGTAGTAACAAGAAGCTACTAGAAACAAGTGCATCGCTAGTAGTAACAGGTGCCTTACTAGTAGTAACAAGAAGCTACTAGAAACAAGAAGCAATTCATGAGCCCCACATAAGCGGTCCCGAGCGGCCCATGGGATCCGTCCGAGCGGCCCCGAGCTCGCCACGGTGGCCACGGTGTCACGTAGTAGATGGAACGCATTTGGATCCTTGATGCAGGATTCATAGAAGGAGCTTGGAAGTTTAGTCAGCCATGGGCCCCTTCTTGCCTTGTTCAACAACTTGGATAAGTAACAAGTAGAAATGCATAGAAATGCATGCTCATTCTTGCCCTTTCACCAGCAGCCAACAGACCTTTTTCCTACGATTCTCGGTCATTCATTAGATCCCTTAGCTTCGCCAGGCTGGACCCACCACTCAGGCTGAAGTGCGGGAATGCTCTGCAAGCTGGGGGCACTCGGCCTGGCTGGGGGGCGCTACTAGTAGCGTCCTTACTCCTAGTAGCGATGCCCTTTGTTCCTA